AGGTGTTGACAAAATCGCGAGATTTAATTCTTACGAAATTCTTCTTTTTAATTTTGACCAAATTCAAGTCCAAACGAACATTCACCCATGCTCTGAAAAATTAGACCGTAAAACCTAGAAGTTGAGACTATAAAACCTAGAAGTTGAGATTGTACAAATTTGGAATGTTTCATTCTAGTTTTGCAGTATGTACGAATTTGAAATCTAATTTTTTTTTTTTTGTGAGCATTTATTCAAAAAATTACGCGATCTCGGTTTTAAAGTATTGCAGTTTTCTCTAAACAGCAAGAGAAAGAATTTAAATAGTACGTGGGCAGACGGTTCGATATTTTGCAACTTTGCACGTAAATCCTTAGAAAATTGATACGCTTAAATCCTCCGCGTTACTTTGCGGAGCTATAAAGGGAATCTCACTCGAAAAGTAAATTCCACGTAAAATAACGAAAATAAAATACATTTTACGATATTCAGAACATAAAATGTACGTATACGTATACGTTTATTCAGGATTCGTGTTTTCAACAGTGTCTGTAAATTGAGGATGTTTATACATTCATGGAAAATTCAGGACTATACAGACTGCATGTATTGTGCAAGAACGTACGATAAATATAAAATTGCATTATTTCATATTTAAAAGACACAGCCTCTATTATAGCTTTCATTTCTTCAATGATACAACGCAATAATTTAAATTCATGTAAATACGTACGTGTAATAATCATTGATTCGAAATGATTTCGAAACGGGTTTCATTTCGGGACAAGTGTTCGTTAATTTGGACAACGTTGATCTAAATTCTACAAGTCTCATCTTCGAGATAAATCGGCTCAGAGAAGAGCGGAGGTGGCAGAGAGGATTCGAATTGAAATCGCGTTAGCGGTGGATTTTTCTCTCGATTATGCCTCTGACCGGCCCTAAATTATTCCACGCTTCGGCCATAAAGTCTAGATTTGGTCGGTAATGGAAGCACACGGACCGATCGATACCGGTCGAACGAGACGAAAATGGAGGAAAATCGAAAACGTCCTCCGATTACATTTACCAAATTCACAATTTACTGAAAACACGCTAATCTCTTCGCTCTGGACTCGTCAGCACGACGTTTGTCCATAACGATATATTTATGGAAAGTCCGATACCTCCGTTGGCGAAATCGCATGCAGCTACTCGCAAAAATATTCGAACATTTATATCACGTGTTCTACGTAAGATAAATTTAAAATTTCACTAATATCGTAATGAAAGTTTGGAAACAAATCTAGTCTCGATTCACTGTGTTATTAATATTTAACACTTAGATACTGTAGACTTGTATTTTACTAAATGTTTGCAATAAATATCTTGTAATTTCTATATACATTTTGAAGTTGATTTCCAATATAATCATAACAATCTACTCTCATTACCGAACTATAAAATAAAATTTCTAAATGTTAATAACGCATAATATACTAACGTAGAAGTTCTTCTATTTCTGTATAAGTATTAGAATATTTTGAGCCATTTATGGTGTTCATGAGGGTGAAACTATGTTGCACTGGAAATTATGTATAGGTAATTGTGAAAAGAAAATTGATTCAATGTTCCGAGTGATTTTAAAAAAACTTGATAGTTATACATCCACATATTCATAT